TTTTTTTTGGCGATAAAAACTCATCTTTATACAGATCACTCGCTTGAAAATTAGAGATTTTCTTTCAATAAACTTACCAATCGAATCATTTGTTTTATTAACACTAATACTGGTAGATAATGGATTTTCCTCTTTGAATCTAAGTAATTTTTGACGCCATTTCATACTCATATCAAAATCACCTCTCTGTGATGCGAGTTTACCAAGATCTTCATATAAACTGATATGTAATGGATCATTCGATGGAAGTTCTTTCAACAAACGAGTTAAATATTTTTCGGCTAAATCAAATTTACCCATTTCCCATAACAGTTTTCCTAATATTCGAAGATTTGTTTCACCACTTTCAATTTGTTCTTTCATATACATAAGAACTTGTTTTAAATCATGTTCATTATCATTACATAAAGTCATCTTGATGATCCATATTTGATCATCATTACGATTAATACTATTAAGACGAAAAATAGAACCAATCATAAAGAGAACTTCCGATTCACTTGGAAAATAACTATGTTTACTAATATCAGCAAATGGTTTTGTAGTGACCATCTTTGGATCAGCATCAATCTCAAACAACACTCTTTCTGAATCAATCTTTGTAGTTATATCACCTAGGAGAAAGAGAGCTGTTGAACGTTCACTACTGGTGGAGAAAAACGAATTTATAGAAATGAACTGACCAATATTATTCTTAAGACCATCTAACTCATCGATCGACATTAGTTGACATCGATAAACTTGCAAAACACGTTTAGATTGATATTTTTGTAATTGACGATAAATATCAGAAATAAATGCACGAAATAAGAAAATCATATGAATATTTTGTGTGCGTAAAGCTGCATTAAGAGTTTTATAAAAGAATGTTTCTTTTGTATACCACAATAACACTTTATTAGGTGAATAACCTTGCTGAAATTCACGAAGATTGTTTAGTTCCATATGGTTTCCTTCATATTCATTTTCACAAAGATTAATAAGTTCATTTTTGTCTACTTCAGTTGATTTTAATCGTAGAAGACAGTCAACGAGTATTTGAGAAAAAACAAATTGTCCATTAACTCCTGTTGTTGATTTGCCTGCATCAACACTTGTTGTGAAAGTATAAATTGATAATGGTTCTTCTACCTTTTTCTGAATTTTATGATCTGCTGTAATCTGAGAGACAAGTTCATCAAGAGCAACAACAACAGATTTTATCTGTAGAAAAAATAATAAAATGAAATAAACATCCTTTAGCATAGTTTTACTTTTGCAAATTTTAGAGCCCATTGTTCATTATTCTTCTTATCCATACAATAAACATAAATTGTTATAACTTGTCGAAGTTGATGAATGTAGGGTACTATTTCTTGTCCTAGCCGACCACTAACAATAATTACTAAGCGATCTTTTTGTGATGTTTGTTCAATATATTGCTGACATTGTTTTACATCTTGAAATTTCTTGATACGATTAATAATAGAACGTAATTTTTGTTCTGTTCCTCGCGTCTCTTTAACGTTTATATTTGCATCGAGCCAAATAAGTGAGAATATTTCTAGAGACTTATCATTGGTGTTTGTGTGGAATTTATTATTTGATACAACAGCAGTGGCCATGTTAATTCAAGAAACTAAAAATAGTATAGAGTTGTCAAATGTTATATGTTTAATCTATATATAATTATCGAATAAATTCTGGTTTTTTAGTCTAAGAAAAAAATGGCATTTTCTCTATTATTATTAATAGAAATGCACAAATCCCAATTCGGTTCGGTTTCTTTTGTAGAATTGGTTGGAATTTGATGCATTCCTAACTGTAGCCAGTATCTTGATCCTTCGAACGACTTTGTGTTTGCATGTTTGTCTGCAGAACTTGTACAGCCAAGAGATTCAGTGAATCGCGTCAATCCTAGCTATTTGTTCTCATCAATATTAGTTTATTTACTACCGTATCCACGTAAATACATGAAAAATATTTCTGAGTGTAACTTATTAGAATATTTCTGTACACCACATAAATAATAATACTATCTAATATAAACATGAAATTATGATTGAATAACATTAACCTACCTTAGAAGACGAAGCGAGGATCAACAAGATATTTGAAAAGAATTGGTTAAGAAGATGAAAAATGAGTGGATTAAGTGAAAAGAAATCTTTTATATGCACGATGGTTATTTCTGTTCTTTGTATTTATATCTATTTGCACAAAATAATTCTTGCTTGTTTCTTTTGCTAGTTCTTATCAACTCATAAAAGAGTTTATTACGAGCAAGTAAAAAAGACAATGTAGGAAACCAAAAGCTGTTGAAAAATGAATCGATTTTGATGACAACAGTAAGGTGAAGAAAGAAGCACAAATCATCGGGAAAGATATTGAATGAGCCATAAAAATATGACACATACAAAATGAATCATTTATTAATGTCTTAAAGTAACTATATAGAGGAATAAATAGATTATTATTTAATAGATATTAATAATTCTGAATAAATATTTTATTTATATTCATTTAATATCGAACAAAAATGTTATGCTCTGCATTTTGCCCAGATGCAGTTCATAAGTAAGATCATCACTATGATAGTATATGTGTCATATTCTCTTTCGTTCTGCTTTATATTTTTCTTTTTGTCCTTCTTCTTGTATAGGTATTTTCCTCTCTCTCTTTGGTTTCTTAGCTTTCAGGGTATTCTATGGAATGTTCATATATGGGTTGTCTCCCTTTTGTCAGCCTACATATAGTCGTCTCTTGTATGTCGAAAGTGTGTGTGACAATTCAGACGAAATTTCGTTGCATTTTACTTCGAAATTAAAGATTATTTGCTTTATATTTGGCTATTAGCTTGGTACAAATAAACTTCAGCGTCAATCATGATCGCAATTCAAGATTATAATATCGTATGTGATCGATTGCTTGCACTTAAATCATGGACGGAAGAAGAAAAATCTTCTCTACTAGATATAATCGTCGATTGGAGGCGTCAGTTCGAATATTCAATACCAGAACAATTTGTACTGAAAATGAAAAGTTTACGAAAACTTTTAACAGATCATATCATCATCAATGTCATACTACCAGTAGATACTATTCTTGAAGTTATACAATCAGAAAATATTCCAGCTGAGGTATGGATTTATTGTCTTCGAGCTAAATTTCAATCAATGATGAATAATGATACTGACAATCAGAATACTATTTCATTCGATTTTACACCAGTTATTATACCAACGATTAATTTTGATCGACAACTGCCCAATACAAATAAATCTACACATCGAAATAAAGAGTATGTATTCATTTTTAGAAGTCAGATCAAAATATGTATTGTTTGATTGAAATTCTCAGTTAATTTTGAAACTTAAAAAAATTATCTATTACATCTTTTAGTGAAATCGATCGCTCATGTCGTAAAGACGTGAAACTCATTCATGGACTTCTTTCATGCGATTCGGTATCAACATCAGCAAAAATATTGATAGAGCCTTCTCCGAAAGAAGAACCATTGGATGCATATCAAGTGATTCTAAGCGAAAATCTTAACGAATTGTATCAACTTAAATGGTGTGAATCGGATATTATCCGTATTCAGGATAAATTCATGAGTCCACAAATAAGCAATAATATTTCATCATTAAAAACAGCATTACTGATTATCGAAACGATTGTTACAAATCAAATATCATCTCAGTCACATATTGATCGAATCGTTAAAATAATTACTAAACATCCAGTCAATCAATGGATGGATGAATTAAACAAAATTGTGGACGAACAAGGGAAAGCCAAATCAGTTGATACACTTCTTGCAGAACTAGCCCATGAAAATCCATCTTTAAATATAAAGAAATTAGAACAACGATATCGAACAGTAATGTATTATTACGAAACAGAAATATCTAGCTGGACATCAGCAGATATTCGAAAACAATTTATGTACAATGATGAACTCAAAACGATTGCCATTATTATTCAAGCTGCACATCTTCATAAACAATATCGTCCAAGAGATATTCAAATTTTATCTCTTCTTCTTCTAATTGATAATTCGGATAAAGGACGATTAGCACAAATACGTACTGGTGAAGGCAAATCTATCATTGTTTCAATGTGTAAGTTCATTGATTTTCTTCAATTGATTTTGTTTATTTTTTTTCTTCTATAGTGGCTGTTTATCTCTCACTTCCTCCACTGAATAAGCATGTCGATATAATCACAACATCTGAAATTCTTGCACAACGTGATGCTGATGAATTTGCACCTTTCTATCAAATGTTCAACCTTTCAGTTGGTCATAATTGTCATGAACCTTCTATAAAACCAAATTATAATGTTAATATTGTTTATGGAACAGTTGTTCAGTTTGCAGGTGATCTTCTACGTACAGAATTTTATTTACAAACAGAAATACGTGGTAATCGACCATATGATGCAGCTATTGTTGATGAGGTTGATAGTATGTTTATTGATCAACGTCAACATTATACTCAATTAGCATCATTAACACCTGGTTACAAATCATTGAATATTATTTTACGATTTATTTATTCGTTCTTTCAAAAATTTAATATTACCGAAAAGAATGAATTTGTTATTCGACAAACTAATGGATTTTACAAAGGTAACGAAAAAAAAGAAGTTATATTCTGCTATTGAAGATTTTGAATTATTATTTTTTTTAGTTGATGCTGTTGAATTTATTCGCAAAAAAATGGCCGAAAAAGAACTTATTCGTTATTCAGCCTATCGTCAAAGTTACATCGATGGTAAATTACCCAAATGGATACAAGGTGCAAGACGAGCACTCTATCACTTAACACTCAATGTTGACTATGTTATTAGTAAAGATAGACAAATTGTTGTTGTAGATTATGCAAATACTGGTATAAGTCATATGAATGTGCATTGGAGTTATGGTGTACATCAATTTCTTGAATTAAAGCACAATTTACGTATGACACCTGAACGTATGTGTGATTCATTTTTTTCTAATGTTACTCTTTTTAAACGATATCAACCACATTTATATGGAGTAACAGGAACATTGGGTGGTAAGGATGCAAGAAAATTTATACAATCTGTCTATCAAATCGATACGTTCAATGTACCAAAATATATTAACAGTGTTTTTGATATTTATTCAAGTAAATTTAGTCAAAATCGTGAAAAATGGTTGCAAAATATCCGAGATGAATGCCGTGAAATAGCCATCGTTCAACGTCGAGCAGTTCTAATTATATGTGAAACAATTCTTGATGCTGAAGACGTCCAATTGGTATTACGTTCACTAAATTGTCGATTGAAATTATATCTTCGTAGTGATCTAGCTGAACATGTTAAACCAGAAGAAGTTCATTCTGGTGATGTTATCGTTGCTACAAATCTAGCTGGAAGAGGAACTGATCTGAAAACAATGACAGTTGTCAATGAGAAAGGTGGTTTACATGTAATTGTTACATTTATGCCAAGAAATTCTCGTGTCGAACAACAAGCATTTGGTCGAGCAGGACGACAAGGTCAACCAGGTTCAGCTCGTTTAATTGTTTACAATGAAACTTTTGCTCTGCAATTCCAAGGAAATGTTGATGAAGCTATGTTAATCAATGTTTGGAAAGATGTACGAGATCAACATGAAGAAAGTGATATGGCTGAAGCTATAACAGAAGTTAAGCGAGTCGAAACGAAAGATCGACTTCTTGTTCGTTTTCTCGACTTAACCCATTCACAAAAACATAAACTACCATTTGCTAATGACATGTACAAACCAGGTTTTAGTTCACTTCGTGAATTATGGGCTTCATTTTGTGATGAAAATGAAACTACAGCTGAACAACGTTTTCCACAATTTGAAAAACAGATTAAACATCAAATGAATAGATCAATTGCTGTTTTAGAACAAGATTCTTTCACAGATGCTAACGATTTAATCAAGACTCAATTTCAAGCAGTGAGTCATTTAATTGTTCATCCAAAATATTTCATCTATGCTGGTTTTCATGCTTTGTGTACGGATGGTATGGATGATAATAGACAAGAAGCATTAAACTTATACAAACAAGCATTGAAAATTGATGCACAAGATTTTATCGTACATTATAATACAGTACCATGTTATATTAAAAATAATCAAACATCTATCACTAGTGCTATACAAGCATTTGATCAAGCAATTAATTTATTGAACGTAGAAATTGAAACACGTAAACTATTAGAAATTTTTCACGATCCACCGATATCTGATGATAATGAAAAAAAAGTATGTAAAGAATAAAAGAAAAGAAAATTTGAATTATTATTCTAATTATAGACAAATGGACCTGTCGATCAAACGAGTCTTGCTGAATTGATCTATCTTCAAATAGTTCATTCAACTTTTGAAGAAAGTCGTAAGCAACTAACACAATTCGATGAAAATAAACATGAAATAACCTGTGAATTTAAACATTGGCCAGAAACATTAGATTGTTTAAAAGGTACAAAATTTGAACCATTAACAAATAATATTAATGCTGAACGTGAAGAATGGCTTGGTGAAGGATTAATGTGGCGTTATATATTTGTTATTCAAACAAAACGATGTTGGTGGAAAACTGTATTTGTATTCGTCATGGGAGTAGCACAAATTGTTGGTGGTGCTTATTTATGTTTAAAGGGACAATTCAGATTAGGTACATCATTAATTCTTGACGGAGCTCTCGATGTTTATAAAGCAGCTGGTAAGTATTAATAAAATCTTCTATCGACAAAAACTAAACGTTATTTTTAAATAAATTTTAGCGACAAAGATTACAGCTGATTTCGATCTAACCAGTTATTTTGAAACTAAAGTAATCAAATATGGAAAATTATTATTCACTCCAGGTGGACCTCTTGAGGCAGTGGCATCATTAGAAAAAATTAAGATGGTCGGAGTGGCTATTGATGCTGTTCGTCAGATCGATAAAAATGGATTCACAATGAGCAATTTAACGCAACTTGCTGAGGCTGGAATGTCACTTGCTGGTGTTGATCAGAAGACTGTTGATTTTGTTAAAAAACTTCCAGAACGAATTAAAGATGCTGAAGCTTTACTTAGCGGTGATATAGATAAAATACTGGAACGAGGTCAACTGGCCGGTCTTCCTGTTCAGACAATTCAACAAATTGCTAAAAATGGATTTAATTTTGAAACAGCCAATCAACTTATTATCGATGGTATGACAATGGCCGGTGTTGATAAGAAAGCTATTGATGTAGTTAAACAATTACCTGCACGAATCCAAGATGCACAAGTATTGCTTAGTGGTGATATAAATAGAATAATGAAACTAGACATGTTAGCGGGTCTTCCTCTTCAGACTATACAAAAGATTATTAAAAATGGATTTTCAGCAGAGAATATTACTCAACTCATTGCTGATGGAATGACTTTTCAAGGTGTCGATCAGAAAACTATTGATTTTGTTAAACAATTACCTGAACGAGTCAAAGATGCAGAAGCACTACTCAGTGGTGATATCGATAAAATATTAGAACGTGGAAAATTGGCTGGTCTTCCTCTTAATGCAATTCAACAGATTGCTAAAAATGGATTTTCTGCCGAAACTGCTACACAACTCGCAGTTGATGGTATGACAATGGCAGGTGCTGATCAGAAAGCTATTAATATAGTTAAACAATTACCTGCACGAATTCAAGATATACAAGCATTAGCAAATGGTGATATAAAACAAATAATGAAATACGCCGAATCGGCTGGTCTTCCTCTCAATCTTGTTAGGCAGATTGCTGTGAATGGATTTTCTGTAGAAACTGTTACACAAGTAGCTATGGAGGGTATGACTTTGGCAGGTGTTGATCCAAGGAAAGTCGATTTCGTCAGAAAATTACCAGAACAAATTAAAGATGCACAAGCATTGTTAAGTGGTGATATTAATGAAATATGTAGACGAGATATCTTGACCGGCATTCCAGTAAATACGGTTCGTCAAATTTTTAAAAATGGAATTACTCTAGAAGCTGCCACTCAACTTGCTCTAGATGGAATGAATATGACAAATGTCGATCCAAAAGCAATTGAATTGATTCGACAACTTCCAGAACGAATGAAAGATGCAAAAGCATTATTCAGTGGTGATATAAATGAAATGTTAGAACGTGGTATATCAGCTGGGCTTCCTCTCAATGCAATTCAACAGATTGCAAGGAATGGATTCTCCCCTGATTCAGCTACACAATTGGCTCTGGAGGGTATGTCATTATTAGGTGTCGATCCCATGAAAGTTGATTTAGTAAAAAAATTACCCGAGAAAATCAAAGATGCACAAGCATTAATCAGTGGTGATATTAATGAAATATGTAATAGAAGTACATTTGCTGGTGTTTCTGTCAATGCTATTCGTCAAATAGTCACACCAAAGAACTCTGTAGAAGCTATTAAAGAAATTGCACTCAATGGAATGGCTATTGCTGGTGTCGATAAGAATACATTAGATTTTGTCAAAAAATTACCAAAAGGAATTGATAATATGAAATTTTTACTTAACGGTGCCCTAGAAAACATGTTTAGACAAAATATGCCAAGTAGTATGGATCAATTATTAGGAATGTGTGCTCAACAATCTTTGTTTAATGGTAAAGAAAAAGAAGTATTCAAAATTATTCGTCGACGAATGCCTGCGGTGCACAATGTAATTAATGGTGATGGAGAAACTGTTCTCGCAGATGCTTTTCAAACTTTCTGTAGCAATGCAAGTAATTTACCATTGGCTGATTTGCTTATTATTGTTCTACCAACTGCTCTGAAGCGAGTTGCTGAACGTGAAAGAGAAGATATTCAGGATCTTTTCGATTCAACTCTAGATCAACTCAAATCGGTGGTGTCAAGCTACAGCAGACAAACATGTGAAGTGATTGATCAGATTCTAAAATCTAATGATAAATGGGATATTTTCCAAAGAACCAAACATCAATTAGATGATAATCTTTGTAAATTATTAAGTCCAGTTATTGATCGTGAGAAGAAGTTTCAAGATGGCATTAACTATATGAAGAATAATCTAGATGCAATTGAAAGCTGTTGTGAATCTTTTCGTATGACTTTTCATGAAGGTCGAAGACAAGCAGCTCGTTTACGAAAAACAATTGAACAGCATATAGATTCCAATAATTTTCTATTGAAACAAGCAATAAATGAGTTTGTCAATGAAATTACCAGCCAAATAAATCAAGAAAACAATCAAGAACTAATGAAATTATTGAAGGAACATTTCAATGAAAGTATCATACAACCCATTATAGAAATGTTATGTGAACGACAAATGGATGAAAAGGATACTGAACTTGTTAATGATTTTACAAATGGAATCACTTATGTACTGAAACAACAGCAACAAACTCGACATTAAACAAGATATTTTTCTTTTTTTTTAAATAAATAATAGTATATAGATCAGAATATTTCATCGACAATAAAGACCACTTTATAAAATAAGAAATGATTTACATATTATTTATTGTTATTAAACTGTAAGGAAATATCAGTCAGCGTTATTCTGTTTTTCTCATTTCTATTTAATCATGTGTTCAAACAGTAAAGTGACTGTTTATAATTTCATTCGATTTTGTTTTGTGATGAATGAAGATACAAAATGTTCCTTTTCTCATGAGAAAAATCCACAGCGTCGAAAATAACATCATGAATCGTTCTTTAGGGTGGATATGGGTGTAAACAGAAAGAAAGAGAACACACCCACACCCTATCCTCTCAGATTATATCATCTTCAAGAGAATTATAAACTCACTTCTACATGTATCTTAATCAAATTAGAAAATTTAATTTTAATTAATTCAATACAATATCAAATCAACCACAACAAAATTGACAAATGAATCAAACTTTTATTTTATTATTTGAAATCGGAAATATAGAAAATTAATTTATTTTAACAAATTACATCGAAAGAAATATTTATCAATAAATCAAACGTAATTTAATTATGAGCAAAAATTCATTTTGAATTTTTACATTTATTTAGTTTTTAATCAGAATAAATAAAAATATTTTCATAAAAAATTTAATTATACATTTCATTATCAATCTCAACACATTTAATTCAAATCAATATCAAATTTTTGTATTCGGTGATTCCAACAATCGACAACATAGAGATTACCTTGAATATCGAATGATAAACCCACGGGATAATAAAACTGATTTGGTTGTTCTCCACATCCAATTCCATCAACAACAATACTACCTTCGCAAGATCCTTCACACCAACGTACTATTCGATGGTTGCCTGAGTCAGCCACATAAACATTACTGAAATGATCGACAATCACTGACCAAGGATAATGCAATTGTGTCAAACGATTCCCTTTACCTTTTCCACCAGCAACAACAATACCTTCTTTTGCACCTTTCATCCATTTCATCACACGATTATTATAATAATCCGATACATAAACTGAATGATCTTCATCAACGAAGATATAAGTAGGATGATGAAGTTGATTGAGATGATTTCCTAGTCCATTTCCACCTGCCACTATTGTTCCTTCTCTTTCTCCTTGTTTCCATCGTCTTACTTCATTCTTCACACAGTCAGAGACATAAAGATTTCCATTCTTATCCATTGCTACACCAGAACAATCAATATCAGAAATGATTGTTTCTCCATTTTTACCATTTTGACGAAACCATCGTACCACTCGACTGTTTCCTTGATCACAAATGACAATAGAATTATTCGTCTTATCTACAATCACATCTCTTGGACCACACAACTGATCATTTTGATTTCCTTTTCCATTGCTACCTGCAACAACCTGACCATTCTTTGCTTCATATTTCCATTCAACAATACGGTGATTCAACCAATCAGCAATATAAATAGTTTGATAATCATCATGAACATAGATACCATGAGGCGAAGAGAGTTGATTTAATTGATTGCCTTGTCCATTTCCTCCAGCAATAGTAATTCCATGTTGTTTCCATTTGGTATTGATATTAATATGATTGACAAGAATTGATTGTCCTAAGAGAAAAAGATTTTTTTAAATATCTGAATGAAATTGATAAATAAATGTGAATAAAAAAACCGTTATTTTAAAATATCATAAAATAAAAATGATTTGAATTAATTTAATTGTAATTTGAATTTAATTTAAAATTTGTTTAATAAAATTGTTTTTGTATTTGTAAAATAAAAAGATAAAAATGTTTAAATTTTTTTTTATATTTAAAAATATAATTTTATTAATTCTGTATGAAAGGATTTGTTTATCTTTGAAAAAGATTTCAAAAATTAAAAATGACAATTTGTTTCTTTCATTTAAACTCATTTCTGTTATGAAAATAAAAATATTTTTATTTAAAATCATCTGGAGTGAAAATAGAATGAAATATTTAAATGTTTATTGATATAAATCTATGCTAAGATAATAGATTTGGTATGAATTGTATTCTTTATTATCAATCAGAATTAATGAGACAAATGTAATGAATATATTTGAAAGAGAATATTTTATTCTTTTTTATTTTCTAATTTCAATATCTATCTCGCAACCAATCTTTTTTTTTATAAAATCTTCATCAACAAAACTAAATTCTATAAACATTTTAATACAAACTCTACGAAAACATTGTCATAATTTTACTTTTTTCTTTTTGTTTAACAAAAATTGTTAAAAATGAAAAATGAAAGAGGCAGAACTGAGAATTGAATAGATTTTTTCTTATTTTAACAAAAAAGAAATAACTTTGATTTATAAATACAGAAGATCAATCAATTTTGCAGATGAATGAGAATGAATTTGAAGATATTTTTCTGTCAGAATAAAAACAGAAAATAAAGTTCTGATGATTTCTTTAAATAGATCTTAAAGTATCAAGAATTAATTTCGTTCATATCGAAATCAATTTCAATAAAAGTAAATAAATTGATGAGAGAAGAATTCTCAACATTATTTATAATCATACAAAATTATTTCAACTTTTTTTCTTGACTCGATAATTTTTACAAATATATCGAATTAATATAAAAAAAAGATTTATATTTTCCATATTTACCCACATGTTAGTTTTTTCTTAAATCTAGTTTTATCTCTTTACATTTTCTATTTTGTTTGTAAATAATTTACTTTTATTCTGAGTTGAAAAAGAATTGAAATTGCTCATTTCTTAATCATTGAAATATTAAAAACATTATTTTAAACTTTTTGAATAAAAGATTTTTGATTCTGAATTTATTTTTAAATTTAATATTAAATGAGTTTTATTTAAATATGATGATCAACGCCTCTATAACGAATACTGTATGTGTGTTGTGAATAAAAATCAAGCATATAGGGATTACTCTAAACATTTCTCTTTAGCGATCATCGTGGAATAATGACTACTCCAACTGATTCAGTCTAGTGTACTTTGAAAGTTCTGAATTAAAAACGGGAATGATAAACATTTTATGTGGAAAAAGTACAAAATATCATTGACATCGTTTATTATAA